AGCGGCGACAGGCGGCATGGCGCGGAGAAGCGGCAGCAGGCAGGGAGGTGCAGCAGGCGACCAGCGGAGTGTCTGGTGGCGTGGGACAAGACAGCTGTTGGAGCCTGGCGGAGTGTCGTAAGGTGTCCCCTATCTATCCTCCCACCCCCATTTCTACCCAGGTTGGGAGGTGAAACCCTGTGGGTGAACTTTGGGACTCTGGGTGGCACAGACCAGGGACAGAGATTTTTGGGGTGTTGGACTCTTTGGACTTCAGGTGATTCTTGGCTGGGGTGGGGCTTAGCTCATGTTTGGGTTATGAACTCTGTTTGTGGTGTTTTCCCCAAATTAATGCCATACGACTTCTCTCTCTGTTTCATTAAATGTTTCTTTCCTACACTCAGACTCAGTGCTTGCGAGTGGGGAAGCATTGCCTCTCAGAGGCACCCAGGGGGGTGTGAATTTCCCAGATTACTGGGTGGAGGCTCGAGCCGGTTCTTTGTGAGATTGACCCCAAGATATTGAACCCAGTCCTGGTTACTGCCAGGCCTACCTGGCAGAAGGGTTACATTTGCTTAATAACTCCCCCCTTTTTTTTTTGCTCAACAACTTTGGTCTCTCCCTTTTTTTCCCCGTGCACAGAATTTTTTCCCTGTGTGGTTTTTTTGGGGGCGGGGGGTGGGGGAGGGTGTTTGGTATTTTTGGGTCAGCCATCTGGCAACCCTACTTTGGAGTTTACATTTTCTTAACAGTCCTCTGTTTTCTTTTCTATTCTGCAACACAAGATGTCAGATGCAGTCTTCCCTGCAAATAGCTATGATGGAGAGAGAAGAAAGAACATCAGTATCTTTCTTGTTCTGTTTGGCGGAAAGGGAGAGGGAATAGTTTGCGTTATTCATTATTATTTTGGATGTCAGCAGAAAATGATGTGAGTTGTTCCAGTATATTCTATTAGTGAATATTGGTAGTATTCACAAGAGAGGGTTCTTTCTCTCTAGAGAACCATTAAGTAGCCCAAATTAACATTGTTACATTAAAATTGTGTTCGTGTTCTAACTTTAAGTAAAAATCTTCCCAAAGAAAACTGTTCTTACGTATTTAATTCATCCATTTAATTTTTTTACTTTACACGTTGCAGCTTCTGAATTTTCCAACCACTAGTGATGACCTCCCACATGCCCGGGTCTTTGCACCTTGTGAGTTATACATTAATTGTAACGTTTGGTAAAACATGTATGTTTGTATGCTTTCTGTGGGTTATAATGTGGCTTCTGAGGGCCAGGCACCCAAGCACAGTGGAAGGAAGCTGTCTGTCTGTTTGAAGCATAATAACTCTTGGAAGAGGAGGAGGAGGAGTGTACTGGGCATCAGTAGTTGTTGAAGCATGCAAAAACACTTAGGGGAATACAGCCTAGAGCAGTGGTGTGCAACCTTTTTCCCGGCACAACCCCCAGAAAAATTTTGGTTAAGCAAAAAAAAAAAGAAGAAGAAGAAGAAGAAGAACGGCCCCTTTAAATGCAGGCAACCTCCTCCCGCCCCCCCTTCCCCGCCCCCCCAGAAGACAGCCACAATCCCGAAAGGGGTCACAACCCATGGGTTGCACATTGCTGGCCTAGAGCATTGCTTTCTCTAGATTCTTGCATGGGATACAATGCAGGTCAACCTCTTCTCTTGTGCATCCAGGGTAAAATTCACTCTTGGTCATAAGGCCAGCACAAGGAATAGGTACCATTTAAATCCCTCTTTAGCCCTGGTACAGGCCTTCTACAA